CGATGGTTGGACTTGATGATCTTAGAGGTCTTTTCCAACCTCAGTGATTCTATGATTCTATCTCAGCTCATCTCCAGGGATGGTCTGTAGTGGCTGCTTGTCTCTGTGGCAGATCTCTGGTGGCTTGACCAGGAGGGGGCAATTACCTTGAATTCTTCCCTGTTTTTAAAAAGGAAAGAACCTACATTCTGGGAATTCTCCTGCAGCGATATCTGTCTGTCTGCGATGGGGAGTCCCAGAAAAGCAGCCAAACAAATGACTTTATGGAACATGTGTTGTGCCAGCCTGCTTTATTTTAAAAAGGACTTAACAGAGCTTACTCTAGTAGAATTAGAGTCAATGATACTGCACTGCAAGGAGAAAAAAAGCAGCTGTTAAGAGACAGTCAGGGGACTGCTTGCGATATATACCAGGGGAGAAAACCAGTCAAATACTAGTTTAGTCAATATTAATTTTTGCACTTCCCTTCTCTTAGTGTGGCTGTGAAAGGATTTGGACAAGTACTAGTGAGGCTTTATATGCATTATTGTGCACAGTCTGGGTAATTTGTACTGAAGAAAAATAATTTAAACATCTTGTGCACAGACTGCACAGACTGGGGAATGAAAAGTCTAGTGGATGAAGAAAAACTAACGGCCCTTGGATTGGTCAGCAAATACACGCTGAGGAGGAGCGCCTCTCCTGCCTTCCCCTCACATAACATAGAGAAGCTGTGTGAGCTTGCATGAATTGCACGGAGCAAATCAACAGGAACACTGTACTGGAAATCAGAAAAGTTGCAAATTGTTAGAGCAGTTCTGGAAGATCTTTCCTGTAGAAGCAGTGAGGAAAGAGACCTCTGTGAGCTTGTGAAAGGATGGAACAGAGATGACTGGCTTCAGTAGCAAAAATTGCATCCATCCAATAATAAAGGAACATCCTTCAAGCTGTATGCTAAAGCAACAGACGGGAGCCGTGTGACAGTCAGGAGTTTACTCTTTTGCATTTTAGGTCACTAAAACTCCCTGCTTATCCAAGCAGGCCTTCTGCTGAAGTTATTGGTTTTACTGGGGAGCAGGGTGGGCAGGAGGGAGTATGAACAGAGATGCAGCAACATTGTGTTTGGGAAAGGTAATTCAGCTCTAGCGTGTAAGTCCATGTTGTGCAATACTGGGAAGAATGGCAGATGTAAATGGATGCAGAAAAGGATTGCTGAGTAGCATCAGCAGGAACCAGCAGAAGCTATCAAATAGCAAAGACTGGTGGAAAATTTCCTAATGTCATCAGATGGAGCCAGCTGAAAAGTATTTGGGAGAGGTGGAGTTGGAGATAGGGCAGGATTTCAGACCTGTGTGGGGTAAATAACACAGGGTGAAAAAGATATTTTGATTCCATAGGATCTGAAATTGGAGACAACAATGAAACGGATAAGGCTTCGTATCAATTTCAGCATGAGATGTGCTTGTGTCAGAATAATACCCAGAAAACACTGAGTGGAATAAGGGATTCCAGATTTATAGTTATAGGAGGAGCAAAACTAGGCAAAGATGAAAACGTACAGCTACTGTACACCTCTCATCTGTGATGAGCACAAGTTGCTGCATGGCACTGCTGGCACGAGTGTCAGTACTGCCCAGGAGTCCTCAGGAGCACCACAGGCTAAGTGTTGCTAAACAGTACAGACAGTAGGATAAGTTTTCTCCGGAGTCTTGTGCACCTCTTTCTTCAGAAGGGAGGGTGTTTTGTCACATTCTTGCAGGGTGTACACCATGCTCCAGTCACTGAACTCGGCTGTCTCCAGGGGTATAATGACCCTGCTTTTCCCCAGCCTATTTCCTTTGGGTGGCCAAGGTTATACCAGGTCACCTGCTGGGTCTTTGGGACTGTGAGAAAACCTGATTAATTAACCTGATTAATGCCTGTGCCCTGATGCCAGGCCCAGAAGAAGTGCAATTCCAACTATGCTTTCCTTGATGGTCTGGTTAACACTATGTTGATGGATTTGGAGCTGATGCAGAAGGGAGTAAGGCACCCTTTCTCTCTGGATTTCACTTGCCAGACCTGCGAGAATGGGCTCCCCATGATCACAGAATTGTTTAGGTTGGAAGAGACCTTGAGATCATCTCCCTCGCCCCTGCCTGCTGCTCAAGCAGTATCAGTGAGAGCAGGTTGCCCAGGACCATGTCCAGCTGGCTTTTGAGTATCTCCAAAGATGGAATATCTCCACGACCTCTCTGGACAACCTGTCCCAGTGTTTGACCACTCTCACAGTAAAAGAGTGTTTTCTCATGTTCAGGTGGAATTGCGTGGTTTTTAATTTGTACTCATTGCCTCTTGTCCCACCAGCTGGCATTGCTGAAGAGTCTGGCTCCCTCATCTTCATTCTCTCACATTAGATGTTTACACACATTGATAAGGTCTCCCTGAGTCTTCTCTTCTCCAGGCTGAACAGTCTCAACTCTCTCAGCCGTTCCTCATGTGAAAGATGCTCCAGTCCCTTCATCATCTTCATGGCCCTTCGCTGGACTCAATCCAGTAGCTCTATGTCTCTCTTGTACTGGGGAGCCCAGCGTAAGAGGGCCACTCCAGGTGTGGCCCCACCAGTGCTGAGTAGAAGGGAAGGATCACCTCCCTCAACCTGCTGGCAACAGAGATCCCCATAGATATAACTCCCTCTTACTATGGCTGAGCTCAGGATCCCTCCTGTGTACGTGTGCTAACGACTCTCCAGACATCAATGGGCTGACATCAAGTTTTACTGCACTCTGCAGAGCATCCTTGGTCCAAAACTCACCACTGAGTCAAGTTTGTGGCCAATAATGTGCTGCTCCTGTTGTGCAGGGTGGGGGCTGTCATAGCCTTCCTGCCCAGGCAGCGACACCTCTGCACCCTACAGAGCTGGCACCCAATATTCCTTCCGAGCGCAGACTACAAGATCACTGTGAAGGCTATCTCAGTGACCTAGCTCTATGCTAGGCAATGTGATCCCTCCCAACCAGACCTAGGTGGTCCCAGGTTGGAGCATCTTGGACAGCTGATTCACAACTTGCTCCACTTAGTACATAGCATCAGTCTGTTCATTGCCTTGTAGCAAAGACATTTGATAGGGAGGGATGACAGCTACCCCACCGGGAAACTGCAGGAGTTTGGCTTTGACCTCCATTATGTGAGGTTCCTATGGGCACTACATGCTGCTAGAAAGTGCTTGGGCAAGTTCAGAAGTGTATTGACCTAGCTGATCAGATTCACTTGGGAATTTTATTAAGTTTCCCCTTGCCCAGTGGCTATCAAGCCACTCCTCTGCCTCTTCTGGAGGTAGATGATGCGGTTGGTGCTCCACGAGCTGGGCCTGTTGGTGTATGCTGTCAATGTTCACTCTGTGATTCAGGAGACCTGGTGCATGTGGAGGCCCACAAAAAAAATCTTCTCGGTGTCCTCCTCCATGTTGGTCAAGCTGTGTCCTCATGGTTGGAGTCAGGTGGAGACAAACTTTTTCCTGCCTGTACTGCACATCACTGAGTGGGCCCTGGCCTACTGCTATCTCTGGGTACCTATGTGATCCCCTTTTGCTGAGTCAAACTGGAGGCTGGGGTGCCAGAGTGGCTGCACAGATGGGACAGAACTCCTAAAGGGTCTTTCCCTTTGGAGGGATCACTGTTCATCTGGTCTTGTTCATGCTCTGCCCCTCAACGTCCTTTGCCCCAGCCTTGCAGCCCTGGCCAGCCTCCAGAAGAAATATTTAAATTTGGTGTGATCACAGCTACACTTGGGTTTCTGAGTGGGCCTTGAGTCTCGTGCTGGAGAGCAGGGAAACCATGGCTTGTTCTGCACCACAGCTCAGTGTTAATGAAAATTTGCAACTGGCCTGTGCCAACTGATGAGAGATCAGGATGCAAAGTATAGAATTACAAGGGTAAATATTTATCCATGCTCATGAGGTGACCCGGCCAAATTGGGGCACCCTGAATGTGGTTTTACACAGGGTTCTTATATCCTTCAATCGTTCAAGTACAACACGATTTGACTAATCACTAACACCCACGGTACCAATTACTAATCATAGTAAATCTTTGCAAAGCAACTCTAGTTTTGCAGCATTCTTGCTGCTTGTCTATTGATCTAGATGTCCCTGGAGTCAGTCTTGCTAGTTACTTATCTCCAGACAGTACTGGGATACTACACCAGATGATGCTGGGAGGGTTTCAGGGGTTGTCCAGGGGTATCCTTTATCCTTCACATGGACAGCTAAGCCTCTAAGAAGCAAAGTCCTTATTTCTAGGGCTGGGCTGTCCTTTAGTTTGTTTTACTTAAGCATGAACAATACCAAAGTCTCCAGTAAAATTCCACTACCTCATCACATTGCAGTGAACTAATGTATATATTAACAAAGTTAAAGACTGATCAATATAATAGTTAGGGAAGGAAATTTCATAGAATCATAGAATCATTTAGGTTGGAAAAGATCTTCAAGATCATCAAGTTCAACTGTTAACCTACCACTGCCAAGTCCACCACTAAACCATGTCCCTAAGCGCCACATCTACAGGTCTTTTAAATACCTCC